TGCTAAGATACAGGGAGTCAGACCCCTGACAGGTACTAGGAGCGCATCCAATACAGATGCTAGCGGTTGACCAGCTGGCTCCAGAGGACTGTCAGCCAGGTGTAGAGAGGGTGAGCTCCCTGCAGCCATCATCAGCCTGCTCGTCTGAATGAGACACCAGCACAATCGAGTTGGATCGCAGCTCTAAATGCTCAGGGGAAGCAGCTCATCGCATCACCCCGGCACGAGTGCAACTCTGAGGGAGGAGACCTGGGCTTTGGGGGGGACCAACTTCCTGAGCAGAAGCTACTCTGAGAAATGGGAGCCTCGCAGGGCTCTTCAGAGAGTGGCCAAACCACAGCTCTGACAGGAAACGGGCTGTGTGTGCTATAGGCAGGACGCAGGGTCCCTCCAGCCCCACCTCCAGACCACAGTGATAGCGATCACAAGCCGGGCTGGGAGTGCCGAGACCAACACTGTGTATCTGCAAGAGACTTGTGAAAACCAGCTTTCATCTCTTTGTAATCTACTATGTGGTTGCCCATACCATCCAGGGGACACATGATACCCCAATTACACAATAGCCACAACTTGATGCGCAAGTTTAATAATTAAAGGTGAGAACCTAGAGAGGCTTTCATATAGAGTGAAGTAAGTCAGAAAGAGAAAAACAAATATTGTATATTTACACATATATGTGGATCTAGAAAAATGGTACAGATGAACCTATATGCAAAGCAGAAACAAACAGAGATACAGACATAGAGAACAAGTGTACGATTCCAAGAGGAAGAGATGGGATGGGCTGGGAGACTGGGATTGACAGGTATACACTACTGATACTATGTGTAAAATAGATAACTGATTACTGTATAGCACAGGGAACCCTATTCAATGCTCTGTGGTGACCTAACCATGGAGGAAATCCCAAAAGATGGGATATACTTGTATGTAATACTGATTCACTTCATTGTACAGTAGAAAGTAATGGCATTGTAAAGTAACTATACTCCAATAAATAATAATAATACTTAGTGGTTAACATATTAAAATCAACTTTCATATTGGGTTTCAGGAATCTCAGGGTTCATGGGAGGTGTCTTAGTGAATATCCAGGCAATGGGATGGAGTGAGGAGGGCACATAGATGTGCTGGACTCCAGACTTCTCCCCACCTCCCACTCCCTCCAACATGTCAACCGGACCAGTACTGCTTTTCCCATTTTTATGTTGAGATTTCATGTGACAATTTTATTTGGCAAAATGCAACATGTCTGAATAGGCCATGTTTTAGATGTAATGAATGCAATCGATCCTTTCTAGCTAAACAGAAATGGTTATAGAATTGTGTGGAAAGGGAAAGAAATAGACTCTAGGCTAATCTTCCAAGGATATCTTCCAAAGTGTTAAGTGCTAGTCACTAAGTTGTGTCTGACTCTTTTTGACCCCAAAGACTGCAGCAAAACAGCCTCTCCTATCCTTCACTATCTCCCAGAGTTTGCTCAAATTCATGTCCGTTGAGTCAATGGTGCTATCTAACCATCTCATCCTCTGCTGCCCCCTTCTTATGTCTTCAGTCTTTCCCAGAATCAGGGTCTTTTTCAATGAAAAACATATAGCATTATATGGCTCAGCCACACATAGTATTTACCTGGTCACAATGTTGTAAATATTCAACATTTAACTAAAATTATGGTATATTATTTGGAGGTTGAAAGGGAGGGAAAATGTGTTTGTGGTAGTGGTGGGTTTGGGGGTTAAAGCACAACTTTCATTGTTAGGAAGCCGACAGATTATATATACTACTTTGTTCAGAGTCAAAGTTCTTAGAAAGGCAGGCTATGCTTGGCTTACTCATTAATCCCTGATCCATTTGCTGCAGTGTTTGCAGGCTCTGGATCCCCAATTCTAATGGAAACTCTTCAATTCAGCTTAACTTCTCTGCTATAGCCCACAGTAGCCACCTCTCTTTTCCTCTGAAACTTCACTTGGTTTTGTGAGATTCCCTCCTTGTTTTAATGAGGGAACATGTGCAGGCTCAGTCCCTCAGTCATGTCCAACCCTTTGTGATCCCATGGACTGTAGCCTGCCAGGTTCCTCTGTCCATAGGATTTCCCAGGCAAGAATACTGGGTTGCCATTTGCTCCTCCAGAGGATCTTTCCTACCCAGGAATTGAACCCGTGTCTTCTGAATCTCCTGCAATGGTGATTATAGTCTCCCTCATCTTACTGGGACCAGTCAGCATGCCTGTGTCTTTTTTCCAGCCATATTCAGTGGTATATGTTTAACTAGGGGATAGAGTTAGTATTTTTCAAGCTAATGCAATCAAATAGAGTGTCAAGTGAACCAAGGGTATAGGCAAGTGACTGATAATGCTGAATGATGGTAAAACTTAAATTGGAAAATGAAGAAATGGTGGGTATCATATTGGTAAGACCAACAAAGATTCATGTGTGACCACATGATGTCACAAATGAATCCAAATTGGAGGGTTTCAGGGAATAAGCTGATAGGAGGAGACTGTCAGGGTGGAGGGTGCTTGAGATGGAAATCACAGAGGCACGTCAATTACTGGTAACGGCAGGTGTAGGAATAAATGCCTGAGGTAGGTGTGGAGGACAAGACATTTAGAAGAAAGGAAGTTGAAGAACTGAGAGATCAGGGTGTTTCTTGGATCATCTAAGTGAATATGAAAATTACCAAGAATCAAAACAGGGAATGTTCTGGTGAGTATAACAATAAGTGGGGGGCTAAACTCTTCAGGGAATGTGAAACTGAGAGGACCCCTGGGGGCATTCCCAGGGACTGAACCCCATGTCCCCCACCTCTTGTCTATAGGAGAGCTTTAGCTGCCTAGGCTTTCCTTGAGTTCCAAAGAGCAAATTTAATCCAAGTGAGAAAATGTAAAAACAAAGGATAGCAATAAAGCAAGATGAAACACTAACAGTTCAGCCATAAATCTAAGTCAAGGACCTTTAGTTCCTCCTCAAGGTCTGTAGATAAGATTACCTCTCCTGTCAAGCCCTCTTCAAACTCAGTTTGAGCTGTCAAACTCACTTTAGGAATCGCCTCCCTGAATCACTTTAGACTCAACTCCAAGGTCTGCGTCAGGATCTCTGAAGCTTCACAAAGACAGCTCCTACAACCCAATTCACTTGAATCTAGTTCAGTTCAACAGGCATTGAATATAGGCCACAGACAACCCTTATGTTTGGCCTTTCCCTTACCATCTAGACATATCTCTTCCCAGGTCTATTTTTTTTTTTTCATTTATTTTCATTAGTTGGAGGCTAATTACTTTACAATATTGTAGTGGTTTTTGCCATACATTGACATGAATCAGCCATGGATTTACATGTGTTCCCCATCCCGATCCCCCCTCCCAC